GAAATGTTTTATTATCATATGAAGGCAGCAGATGTGTTGAGTTATTATCCAACCCATGTATATTACAGAACAAGTCTAAAACACATATTTAAAAAGTTAGGGTTGATATTGTAGAGTTCTGAGGCTGTAGATCCAGGACTCTTCCCAAAAGGTTTATTTAACTCAAAAACAACTGCGATGTCAAGAGATAACAATCACAAGTAGGAATTTTGGAGCTTAAATTATTACCATAAAGTTATTGTCTTTAAAACCGTCATATTTGTAGACGTAAAGCTGAGGTACCTAACTATAAAACTTTAAAAGGTTCATATTCTAGAGTTCTGTTTTAGACAGAGGGCATGTGCATTGTGGGAAAATATGCCCAAACGGTTTCCCACATCATTATTTGACAGCGACTAGATTCACAAACCTGCTTTTCAAATCCATCCACCTGTTTTCTACCCCTCAATCCATTTCAGGGTCAGGGGGGGGGTAGCCAGAGATGCCACCCAGAACACATACAGTAGCATCAGCCCGTTCAATTAAATGTATAGAGCCCTAAATCACAACTGCAATCGTCTCGGGGGACTTTACAAAGTTGTCGATTTACCAACAACAGATCAGAGAATCAAACGGTGTGAAAACAAAGCAGTAATATCAAACACAAAGGAGCCATTGGTCCTTAGGGAGCTGGACGACCACTGTCTATAAATGTAAATAAATATGCATATTATTCTTGAGTCTGAAAGTGCTTTCTGGCCAACATCACGCATTATGTTTTGAAATATTGTCACCCCTTCTAGACAAGAAAATAAATAGATAAATTAATTGATATGTGCCGACAAAGAAGAAGACCTTCTGAGAGTTTTTGTTGCAGATGCTTTGGCCCAGGATTACATTGAAAGTAACTATAAAATAAATCTGACTTTTAACACTTACTTTAGTTACCAGCTTTTTTTTTCAACTGTCCTCTTCCGCAATCCCAAACTACAGGCTCTTTGGAGTGTTGTGATGTCACATGAACAAGTTTGGTTGTAAATAGCACAATGCTCACATGTTGTAATGTCTTGCAGTCGCTACTTCTGGGCTGTATTCCTCTCACGTCTTTCCTGCTGCGAGGCGAGTACAGAGCCTTTTCTCGGCTTCAATGTGATTTTAGTGAGTGGTGCTTCAGCGGACGCACGGCAGCAAAAAGCACAAGCAGCTCCAACACAGACGCACACACCGAAATACACACACACACACACACACACACACACACGCACATGCACCTAGCTCACCTCTCTCTGTGAGTTGGAGGAGGACTGAGAACCATCAAAGCTCCCATCCCACACACATACACACACACACACACACACACAAGCACACACACACACAAGCACACACAGCATCAACCATGACAAATCCTGGATCAAAAAACGATATATCATCTGGTACTTCCATCACTTCTATGTGCTGCACCTTACAGATAATAAAAAGAATATCTTCAATGGGCCAACACCGACTTAACGGCTGAAAAACTAAATTACATTTTTCACAAAACACAAAAAACAGAATTGCATTTAAGATTTAGCAACCCGGCAACGGATAAAGCGGAAGAAAATGGAAGTTTTACCATCGTTTTACCATTTTCTAAAGATTTATGATTTTACTTCCTTATTGTGAATGATAATGCCGTGTGCCAGAGTATTAACATGAACCTAAGCTATTCCAATTAAACTAAAATTAAGAGATCCAATATTCGTCCCACAGTGGGGAAATTTCAGTGTTGCATCACAGGTTACAGAACAGTAGGAAAGAGGAGCACACAACACACAATAAATGAACAACAATCCTATACTAAAAACAATAAAATCTCTAAATTACTGTAAGCTGTTTTAAATATCTGGCTTTAGCATAATAAAGAGCAAAGTTAGCACAATTATGAAAACATATGAACAGTTTATTTGCAAAAACAAATATCTCTGTTCTGAAAACTGTCAAAAGGTTGTATTCCTTTACGGTCTTCAACATGTTTTTTTAGTAGATTTGAAATAATTTGCTCGAGAAGGGAGTGAAGCTTTAAGTATGGCGCTAAACTAGATCTGGCTTTTCCGCAAAACGTTTTGGAAAAGTGCAAATTGTAAACCTTTCATATGTGTTTCTAGCGGCACAAACTATTCTTATGTTTATTTTGTTGAGTGAAAGTATAAATGTCATAAAAAACTTGCGCCAAACTGTCTGAGTTCGGTCTCTCCCTGCGGCGATGCCATCAGTTGTGTAATTCTGCTCTATACTTACTGTAAAAGTTCAAATATATTTTCTTGACAAAATGCAGGTTTATTGGTGTAAAACTATAATTTATGTTTTGAAGATGAGTCCTGACACCAAACTGTCTAAATGAGAAAATCATAAAAACCTGTTGAACTTAATTTTAAGTAATTTTGGAATATGATAAATTTGTCTTTCTCACAATACTATCATATAAATGCAAAATAGAAGCAAATTATAATTAGTTCCAATCGTTATGTTAAATTAAACGACACCTTCTCCTCCAGACAGGTCCATGTTCTTCGCCATGTCTGTGTAGGTTCCCTCCAGGTGCTCCAATTTCCACTAACAAAAACATGTACAATATTCCGGCGCAACACCCTCCCTGACCGCACTCATAGGATTCTGGACCCTGGAAAAAAGTCTTTCCAGATTAAGTAAATGTCAATAAATATACTCTATAAACTTATAGGCCTGCAAAAATGACATATTTTCAAACGTCCATATAATGCTGCAGAGATGGGCCGCTATTCAGAGTCAGGAGAGTTTGATACACGTCCAAATGACAAAATACCTGGAATTCAAACAAAGCAGCATTATGTAACGTCTCTGAATATTTACCGTGAAATGGAGTGACCCACTGAACCGCTGTTATGGTGCAGCTCGTACAAAAGACTGGAGATGAAAAGGTTTGGACCATTACTGAAGCAAACAGTGATTCAAAGGATCATAAAAGCTCCAAACAAATAGAAATGATTTTCAACTCTAGTCTGTGGCGCCGATCGCACCATTCTCTATATCACCAAATTATAGATCATATTTATTTATCTATTTAACTTGTATTATTGTTACGTAAGGAATAAACATTGATTATTATGAACATAGCATTAATACTGAGAAGGAGTGATAAGCAGACATCAGAAATCAACACTAGGACACACCTCCCTCTGCTGGAGACATGATGTAATTACACTTCATCCAACATACTGGTCATACAATTATAATGTCTATAGCAGAGCATAGTGAACATAATTTTAACATTAATAGTACTGGCTTTTGAAATACATACTGAGCTACGAGAGACTTTGTACAGTCTCACAAATATTAATTTATCTGCGTTGTAAATATTATCCTACAAGCTATTGCCCTTCTGGTTAGAATTGGCCTTATTTTGTGAACAGTTCTGACTTTGCAATGACAATAAAGTTCAATCAATCAATCAAAGTTTATTTGTAGAGCACCTTTCGTTCACAGGGCAACACAAAGCGCTTCACAGTCCACATCACCCAAGGCACAAATCATCACATAAAACAAAAAACAGAATCAAAATCAAAACATTAGAATCACACAAGAAATTAAAACCATTAAAGCTTTAAAATTACACAAGGAATTAAAAGATAGATGAATAGTTAACCACAGTGCATTAAAAATAGAGATGAAATCCTTCAGTTGAATTGAAAATGTTGAATCTAATCTAATCTATTATAAATCAAGGACCATTTTGCCCAGTTTATTCTTCAGAAATCTCAAAGTCTCCATAATGAGAAGATAAATGTATAATTAAAAGCTGATTTGGAGTGAACCAGCGACAGCCTGCTCTACAAACACATAGGCACTACTGTCAATTATTGAGGAGGAATGAAGTGAAAGCGAATGTGTGAAACCTTAAGTGAAAGAGTAAGGAAAGGCAAAGCAAGGCAAGTTTATTTTTACAGCACAAGTCTTACACAAGACATCTCAAAGTGCTTAACAAAAGTACGTTAAAGACACTATCCTTCAGTTGTATTCAGCTAAACATAATTTCAATTTGAACGTTGTCAGAAAGAATGATTCCTAGTAGTTTGCATGAATCGTCCCAATGTTTAGTCCTGACTCTGGAAACCAGCAGGAGGCCAGTTCCTGTTCTCCTCAGAGTCGGAGTCGGTTCAGATCATAGACTTATAAAATAGTACATTTTATTTCATTTAGCATGAAGCAGTGTTTAAAGTCAGTTTACACAAATGTTTGTTCTCTGAGCCCATTCTTGGTTAGAAATTGCAGATATGAGAACCATGGTCCATATGATCTGCATTAAAATGTGTATGTATTTATTTTATTTATTCTTTAGTGACCTTTATTTAACCAGGAAAGACCAACTGTGATTCAGAATCTATTTTTCTGGGTAGACCATGGATGGGGTAGACCTGGCCCCAGAGAGAGGGGAGCTATTGTACATGTAGTGCAGTGGTAGGGGAAACCGGAACACACAAAAAAACCCTACGAAGACACGGGGAGAACATGCAAATTCCAATCAGAAACGACCTGTCCAGAGAGGTGGAATCGAACCCTTGACCTTCTTGCTGAGAAGGACACCACTCAGCCACCTTTGTTAATTCGTTCATCTATTGACTGGGGCTAATTCAGTTCTTTTTTTTCCCGTTTTTAATAAGGAAAAAATATTTAATAAAACATTTTGCTAAAAAAGGAGACAAATGGTCCCGCCTACTTTCACCTCTCTTTCCCTCTCCAATTGGTCCAGCGCTGCCACTTCTCCGTCTCTGATTGGTCAGAATCCCACTGTGTGTCCACCGAATGCGGAAGTGCTGCGCTCCACTGAACTCAGCAGTGGAGGATGTGAAACAGGCTCTCAAACCGAAATACCGCTTTTTCACCGCCATGAAATCACTATAGCTGAAGGTTTTTATGTAAAGTAGACGTAGATAACGCACATAACTATGATGTTACTGGAGCATTCTCTTGTTTTTGCGCTGTTTCTGGCGCTGGCAGCTGCGATGAAGGATGGAGGAGATGACGAGTGGGTCAACCTGCCGAACAAGTGCGAAGGTAATCTGCTCTTAAATGGACTTGAATATCAAATATAACAGCGTATGTACATAAAGTAAACATTACAGCTGTATCACACGTGATGTCTGTTGAATCCTAGCGCGAAATACAACGAAATAGTCTGTGTTTACATTGTATCAAGCCTCATCTCTGTGTTATAATTCACACAATGGCATCATGTCGCATTGTTGAAGAATAGTAGTGAGCTTTTGGATAGAAAGCATAACATTAGCACAACTATTCCAATCTAAAAATGGAAAATGGCAAACATACTGCTATTACCTTCTGATATTTTAAAGGCCCAGGTAAATATCCAGGTTTTCTTTAGATGCGTACTAGTTATTAAGACATATGGAGTTAAACTGACAGATTATTAGTGTCAGAGTAGTGCAGATGATTCACAGTTTGTTTTCACACACTAATAACAGCCTTTAATAGATATATTTGTTATGGATTTGTAGATAATAATAAGTATCCCAGCAGGTGAACTCTGTCAATGATCTATACATGCTTGAAGAGATGGATTGTGTGTGTCTGTATTCACAGTATTTACAGGTCAAGAGGACATGAGTTTAAAATGGCTACACTGTGTTATAATTGTATGTTACAGTTGATTGAGAATCAAGAGTTAAACAATTACTATCTGATTCCAGGATCTGTTCAGAAAGATAATTAAAACGCTTGAAGGAAATCCTTTCCTAAATAGTCATTTAAAATACATTCAACACTCGGGTAAAAAGAGTGTTTCATAGTTCACAAACAGCAGGAAAATACGAATCATAAGCCCTGTTTCCACCAGTTCTACTTGGCCCTACCTGGTTGGGTTTCCAATACTCTTTTGTTTCTGGTACCGTATCCTAGCAACCTACCCAATTGCAATAAGTAAGTACAACAAACCAGTGTCAGTGAAATTTCCTTGGTAGCCATGGCTTGAGCCAATCACTAGCAGTCACTTTAATACCAGCTTGGCCTAGATAGAACCAGGGCCAAGCAGCTGGTACCTGGTACCAGTTAACCAGGGCTCATGGAAACGCACCCATGGAATTTTTTATGTATTAAAAAAAATCCATGCAGGTGTTTTTTGTATTATTTTTGTTCCTGTTTTACAATAAGTTGGCTGGATGGAGAATAGTTTTTACTAATATTTGTAATAGCTTATGTTGTCAATGGGATTCTTTTATTAGTTCTAACACTAGTTTTCACACACATGCATTTTTCTTCTGTCACTTCTTTAGATCAGTGTAAAAATCTCACTCCTTTTCAGGCGGCCAATCAGCTCTCAGCCCAAAGAGTCTAATAGTGACTCTAACAGCTCTTTCTTTTAAGTACACAAAACGGATCAAAGGGTTTGGTGGAGTCTAATCTGATCACAACATTTTACTTTTGCAAGACGTTTACTGTCGGGACAAACTATATGTATTAGTTATGGTAATATTTGTAGGTACCCCAGCTTTAATGGTTTGTAAATATAACAAAGGCTCATTGAGGCTTTTTTAGAAAATAATTATCACTTAACTTGGAGCGCAAACAGAAAGAAAAGGGAAAGAAGAAAGAGCAATGTCACTTGTGGAGAGTGGATGAATGATGCATAAATGAGTGAAACAGTTGGAGCGCTGTGTAAACGTGACTAACCCAATATTTTCACGACAATAATCATCTATTTTGAGTCAACGCCGTGTCTTTTTGTTTTCCGCTGCAGTGTGTAAGTTTGTCAGCATCGAGATGAAGTCTGCTTTTGACGAAACCGGGAAAACAAAAGAAGTGATCGACAGAAACTACCGCTTCATCGACGGCAAAGGCGCAGCGCCGATCAAATACGTCAAATCGTGAGTCTATTTCAGGAGCGAACTGAAGCATGCTGGGAAGGCTTTTGTTGAATGGACTTTTTCATATTGTAATGACACAGAGATGATATGAATTCAATTATAGGGACGAATGTAGAAAGACCGTTAAAGTAAGGTTTAGATTTTACCAATATGAATGAAAAGTGATCAATTCAATCCAATGTATTTCTGTATTGCACTAAGATGTCATGGAGGACTTTACAAAGTTTTCATCCACCAACAACAGATCAGAGAATCAATTTGAACACTGGAAATTCAATATGCATAAACAATGAATATACATGTTAATTAGGACTAAGGCTTTAGATCCGGGACTGAGGCCGTAGACCCAGAACTGAGGCCGTAGACCCGGGACTGAGGCCGTAAGGCAAGGCAAGTTTATTTGTATAGCACAATTCATACACAAGGCAACTCAAAGTGCTGAACAAGATGCATTAAAATCATAAATAATCACAGAACATTAAAACGAAAGATAAAAATATAAAATCCCTCAGTTGTATGCACAGCTAAACAGAACCGTTTTTAACCTGGTTTTAAACATCGTCAGAGAGGAGGCCTGTCTCACATCTTCAGGAAGATTGTTCCAGATTTTAGCAGCATGAATCTGAAAAGCAGCCTCCGCATGTTTAGTTCTGACTCTGGGCACTAACAGGAGTCCAGTCCCTGTGCTCCTCAGAGTCCGGGCTGGTTCATATGGGACTAACATGTCACTAATATATTTTGGTGCGAGACCATGGAGAGATTTGTACACAAGCAGAGCTGTTTTAAAGTCTATTCTCTGAGCCACAGGAAGCCAGTGCAAAGACCTGAGGACTGGACTAATGTGGTCGTACTTCCTGGTTCTAGTCAGGACTCGAGCTGCTGCATTTTGAATATACTGCAGCTGTTTTACAGCCTGTTTGGACAGGCCGTAGACCCGGGACTGAGGCCGTAGACCCGGGACTGAGGCCGTAGACCCGGGACTGAGGCCGTAGACCCGGGACTGAGGCCGTAGACCCGGGACTGAGGCCGTAGACCCGGGACTGAGGCCGTAGACCCGGGACTGAGGCCGTAGACCCGGGACTGAGGCCGTAGACCCGGGACTGAGGCCGTAGACCCGGGACTGAGGCCGTAGACCCGGGACTGAGGCCGTAGACCCGGGACTGAGGCCGTAGACCCGGGACTGAGGCCGTAGACCCGGGACTGAGGCCGTAGACCCGGGACTGAGGCCGTAGACCCGGGACTGAGGCCGTAGACCCGGGACTGAGGCCGTAGACCCGGGACTGAGGCCGTAGACCCGGGACTGAGGCCGTAGACCCGGGACTGAGGCCGTAGACCCGGGACTGAGGCCGTAAGGCAAGGCAAGGCAAGTTTATTTATATAGCACAATTCATACACAAGGCAATTCAAAGTGCTGAACAGAACAAGAAAGCATTAAAATCATAAATAATCACAGTACATTAAAAAAAGATAAAAATATAAAATACCTCAGTTGTATGCACAGCTAAACAGAACTGTTTTTAACCTGGTTTTAAACATTGTCAGAGAGGAGGCCTGTCTCACATCTTCAGGAAGATTGTTCCAGATTTTAGCAGCATGAATCTGAAAAGCAGCCTCCCCATGTTTAGTTCTGACTCTGGGGACTAACAGGAGTCCAGTCCCTGTGCTCCTCAGAGTCCGGGCTGGTTCATATGGGACTAACATGTCACTAATATATTTTGGTGCGAGGCCATGGAGAGACTTGTACACAAGCAGAGCTGTTTTAAAGTCTATTCTCTGAGCCACAGGAAGCCAGTGCAGAGACCTGAGAACTGGACTAATGTGGTCGTACTTCCTGGTTCTTGTCAGGACTCGAGCTGCTGCATTTTGAATGTACTGCAGCTGTTTTACAGCCTGTTTGGACAGACCTGTGAGCAGGCCATTGCAGTAGTCTAACCTACTGGAGACAAATGCATGGATAAGAATCTCCAGGTCTGCTTTAGACACTATGTTTTTGATCCTGGCAATGTTTTTTAGATGGTAAAAAGCTGCTGATGTTACTGATTTGATGTGGCTATTAAAATGTAAGTCTGAGTCCAGTATTACCCCTAGATTTCTGACCTTGTTTGAAGGTTTTAGGGAGAGAGACTGTAGGTGACAGATGACGCTCTCTCTTTGAGAGACCCGTAGACCCGGGACTGAGGCCGTAGACCCGGGACTGAGGCCGTAGACCCGGGACTGAGGCCGTAGACCCGGGACTGAGGCCGTAGACCCGGGACTGAGGCCGTAGACCCGGGACTGAGGCCGTAGACCCGGGACTGAGGCCGTAGACCCGGGACTGAGGCCGTAGACCCGGGACTGAGGCCGTAGACCCGGGACTGAGGCCGTAGACCTAAGAATCATATATTTTTGGTATATTGGTGTTTAGTCTCCACGGCCACAGAAAGACTTTTGGGAGATACAAACCCACATTTGTTTAATTGTTGATTGCAAAAGTGTAGCGTACCGAGACTTTAAAATACATAAACGTTCTGAAAGAAACAAAGCAGTATATTTAAAGCAGATGGAAAGTGGAACCAGTGAAGAGGAAACTGTTTCTCTTTGTTTCCTGTGGAGGAACTTGATATAGAACCTGTCAAACTGCTGCCAATGATTGTGAACTTACAGCTAAGTTTGTTATCACCCTCGTTTTTACTTCCTCCTTACTCCCGGGGACACTGGTCGTATTTAACTATTTAAATATTTCATGTCACATACCACTAAAATACTGCATAATGTACATATTTGGCATTTATTCACATGTGTACTGTATTTAGGGTGTAGTTGGAATTAGGAGCACACAACACAAGAGGAATGAACAATAATATAAAATAACATTGAATCTGTACCTTTTAGTACAACTTTTAGTGAGTATTCGAGACTATGTGGAAAAAAAAAAACTTTAACGATGATATAGTATTTGTTCATGAGGCCGTCAACATGTTTTTAGTTGTGCAGCGTTTTGTGATCCTGCTCTGTGAAAAGCGCTATATAAAATAAACTTGACTTACCTGTTCCTCAGAGACCTGCGCTTCATCGAGGTGGTGGAGAATGTTTGTCAACGTCTGCTGGAGTACAACCTGCACAAGGAGAGAACCGGCTCCAACCGCTTCGCCAAAGTGAGAGCCAAACACATGTATTTATTATTTATTTATTTTACTTTTTTTATTTATTGGATATGGACAATACACATTAATGACATCATCAGTCTGAAGCAAATGTAAATATGCAGCATTGGAGCCACAGATCTGCAGGCAGTCCCTCAGCAGACATGATACATACTGTACTTTACAACAGACAAGACACAGGCAAATGTAAAGAGTCTAGTGGTCACATGACTGGTTTGTTTTAGTGGCCATACCTGCATGCAAAAGCTTCATCCTGTCAGAACTCTGAAGCTAAGCAGGGCAGGGCCTGGTTAGTGCTGTGATGGGAGACCTCTGGCAACAGCAGATGCCTCAGTGGGACGGCTGCGATAGAAATGGGACAATTTTTTGTTGTGTCCTTAGGTAAGTTGCTTCACCCACATTGCCTAGAACAGGGGTGTCAAACTTATTTTGGTTGAGGGCCGAATAAAAAAAGAAAGTGCTGGTCAGGCGCCGAAAAAATAAGTGGGTTTTATTTATAAAAAATGTTGGGAATATGAAGGTAAATAAATGACTTGTTTCACATTAGTTGGATATTCTTTTCTGATTAGAATTAGTTCAGTTGCTGTGGACTGAACCAAAACTGGACCAAAACCGGGCCAAATATTGAAGGTATACAGGAAGATTTTCTACTTTTGCGTGGATCATCAAGACTATTGCTCCTCTCAATTGTCAATCATTCTGATGATTTGTGCTCGTCAAAAATGTCCTGACAGTTTTGTTCAAAAAGTAGAAGTGGTTCTTTCCTAAGAAAATTGGGAAATCCTTTATTTCTTATGGAATTAAATGTTATGGTTGTTTTCTTCGTAATGGATAAAATGCCATTGTCGCCTATTATCATTTATGCTGCTATTTAATATAATAATTAAAAATCATACCAAGGGCCACTGGAAATGGTCTCGCGGGCCGGATCTGGCCCCCGGGCCTTGACTTTGACACCTATGGCCTAGAATGAGTCTGGGGTGTCTGTATGTGGCCGGTGTCACACACTGGTTGCCTCGCTTCTGTCAGTGTGCCTCAGGGCAGATGTGGCTACAATAGGAGTTTATCACCACCGTGTGAGGAGTGAATGATTAATGACATGTGAAGCGTCTGCATTATTATTATTATTATTATTATTATTTGCTGTTTTTTGTGCGATTTGAGACATGTATTCATATTGACGATGCCCGTAACACGTGCACAGAACGTCTTGCACCAGCGTGTCGAAATGACACAGGCCGTCCGAACGCCAAACTTCAAAATATACAAACCAACTTCTTAATGGTCTCCACACAATCTTTATAATCCATAATTTCCTCAAAACTTGGTGGCCTCTCATGATCCAAACCATCGTCCCCGGAGCAGCCCGGGTCCAAGCCATCTGTCAGGTCCATGTGCGGATTCTGCCTGAACTCTTGAAGTCGATGTGGAAATGTTTCGTGCATCAGTCCTGGACACATTCACAGCCCACTTGCCGTTTTTTTTATTTTTTTCTATTGGTAAATTAAAGCTGGGGTTTCTAACTTCCTAACTATGTCATAAAATCTGTGTCTCTAATTCCTTGCTCTCAAAACAGTTGTTCAGTTGCTAGTTTTATTTCGACATTTTTAAATCTGCTTTTTCAGACATAAAAGTGAATAGGAAAGGAACACACTCTCTCTCAGCCAATCAGCTCTCAGCACAAAAGGTGAAATAGTGACTCCCAGGGATCTTTTTTACAAGTATACAGATGATGACATGTTTTTGAATAGAGACATTTTACACAATTACAAGACTCTTTCTGTTGGGAGACACGTCATGTATCGTTTATGACAAATGTTAACGGTGAAATCTTGTCGCGTGTATTTTGGTCATGATTATGTGACGTACAAAAGTGAAGTTATTCTGGTGTGTGTTTGTGTCCAGGGCATGTCTGAGACCTTCTCCACGCTGCACGGTCTGGTCAACAAAGGCGTGAATGTGGTGATGGACATCCCCTACGAGCTGTGGAACGAGACCTCCGCAGAAGTGGCCGACCTCAAGAAGCAGGTGCAGACTTTGAAACATTCTATATTTTGTTTTTGTTTGTTTGTTAGTTTGTGTATTTATTTATTTATTTATTATTTTATTATGTTTTCGTTTTTTTTACAATTCAAACATAAACACACACATAGAACAGAAACGACCAAATAGCAATGTTTTGGATTTTGTCTATTTCATCAGAAAGCATGCACTAAGAAATACACACACAAAAAAATGGGTTACACTGCAAAAAAATATAAAAAAATAACGTCATTTCTTGAATAGAGATTTTTATCTTATTTTGAACACATTCTGACAAAGCCTTTTAGTCTTATTTCATGAACTATTTTTTCTCATTCCAGGAGAGACATTTCTGCTTTGTCCCATTGGGAAATATTAATGTAAGGCTCAGTCAGAATGTGCTCAAATTACGATACATTTTGCCAAAATTGAGCCTCTTTTTGACTTATTTTTCATCACTTTTTGCAGTGTTTGTAGCATATTGTCTTTATTGAACCTTAGAAAATGCACATGTGTTAAAACAAAGGCCTTGTCAGCAATTATTGTGACGGATCAAGTCATTGGAAGCCTTTTGAAAGAGTTTCTTGTTTCTGATGTGATGGTGGTGTGTGTTGGTCAGTGTGACACGCTGGTGGAGCAGTACGAGGAGGTGATCGAGGACTGGTACAAAGGAGACCAGAGCGAGGACCTGACGACGCTGCTGTGCGCCAAACACGTCTTAAAGGGACAGGACACATGTAAATGACACACTCGCACTGTTACACACATGCACTGGTGTTTTATCTTCTGTTCGGGTCAGAGCCACTTTTACTGTTTGAAAGTTAGGGCTGTAGTCCATCTTAGAAATTCTTGGTCAATTTTTGAAACGTACCCATTTGATCTATCAAACCTAAGGTCAACGTTGTTTCAAAGTTTCAAGACTTTTCATCCAAGAACAATCATTTAGGCCTGAAATCACTTTAGCAATATTTAGCAATGATTAAAAAATGAATGATTGAGGTTGATTTGGTTTGAATGTGAAACTAAATGCCAAAACCCTCCATGGCTTCTGATGGAGTTTGCTCTTTTCAAATAATTGACTAATACAAATGTTGGTCGTTTGGCTCATTTCTAGATCAATGGTTTCTCAAACAACTAAAAGCCTGACAGCCCTAGTGCTACTTTGGCAGCACGGTGGTTAACGCTTGTGCAGAGTTGTGGAGTTTGCATGTTCGGCCGCAGCCTTCCATCGCTGCAGGACCTGTACGTCGCCCGAGCTCGAGGCCGGGCTGGTCGTATCACAGCCGACCCCTCTCACCCTGCACATGGACTATTCCAACCACTCCCCTCAGGCAGGAGACTGCGGTCCATCAGGACCAGAACCTCCTGCCACAAGAACAGTTTCTTCCCCTCTGCTGTTGGACTCTTGAACACTTCTTAACCTGTCCCCCCGCCCTTTATAAAGTCACTTTACTGCCCATCATACGTCACTTTACTTCACTGTACTGCTGTCACCTCACATTGTGTGCACCATGTGCACTTATATATTGTAAATAGTAACTGTAACTCTATTTTAAATTTAAATTTATTCCTTAGAAGTGTTTTTTATTCTTTATTTTTTATTATCTCTTTCTGACTGTTGCACTGAGCCAAAGCAATTTCCAAGTCTGTGACTTCCTGTTACTTACGTGGCAATAAAAATGATTCTGATTCGGATTCTTCCCATGTCTGCACACTAGGTTTCCCCTACTAAAAACATGTACAATAGGTCTCCCATCTTGCGTGGAGTGAAACAAATGCCCACAACAACCGTAAAGCGCTTTGTGACTCTGGTCTGTGAAAGACGCAATGTATTTGTATAGCCCTCAATCACAACAGCAGTCCTAAACCTTCATTCATTCATCGACAAGAACCAAACAAAATGTGAGAAATAGATATGTTCAAATGTAAAGGTCTATGAAAGGAAAACCCTTAGATAAAATCAGTAATAATGCTGTAAAACCCTTCATACACCGAGAGCTGTATTAGACCTGTGTTTCCTGAATGTTATTAACAGCTCCGTATAGAGAGCCAGTGACTCTTGCTCGTAATTACAAATACATGTGTTTTATATGAGATATTTCCGCATTTCTGAGCCGTGGTCTTGTTCTGCAGCGTGTCTGGACGAACGGTGGAAGAAGGGCGACCGCGCCGCCATCGCCGAGGACAAGAAAGTCAAGAAGAGCGGCAAAAAGAAGGTAAAGAAAGACACTGATGCAGAGGGCAAGAAGAACAAGGACAAAAAGGGGAAGAAAAAGAAGAAGAAGAAGTCCAAAGCTCCAGTGGAAAGCCAGGATCCAGGGGCCACGCTGGGAGAGGACATCCAGCCACAGGTGCCTCTGGGCGGGGACAGGACCGAGCTCTGAGCCCCCGGGGCCTGGAGCTACTGCAGGGGGTGAAATGTGGTCTTGAAATCTGAATATTTATTTTAATTAGCTGCAATAATTCAAATTAAAGCTGGGATACCTTACTTTAGAATTGCATAATGTAAATGCAGTTTCAGCTTATTTTTAAGATAAGATAGACTTTACTGATCTCACACAGGAGAAATTTGTAAAAGTTGTAAATGTTGAGGACAAATTGGACGACATCAGGCTGTCTTGATCTTGTTAGAAAATGTGTTGTATGTTTGGGAGAAAGAGCCCTTTAAGTCACTTTTGGACACTTTGGGATAAGAGTGAGCGCGGTCCTCTCTGTTTTACTTTTCTGTCGTCTGAAAAAACTGATCTAAAGATGTGACAGAAGCTAAATGTACTTCTGAAAACTTGCATTAAAACCAGGAGCCACAAGTTTTAGAGCCAGGTCCAAAGTACATGGATTTATAGATGTAATTTGTTGTGGCTTGAAAGTTAAGTACCCCAGCTTTAACTAGATAAATTACGAGTCCAAATTTTGGTATTTCAAAATGTTTCGGGTACAATAAAATTTGAATGTACAGAAGCATACATTAAGTCTGTTGCAGCCCTCTACTGCAGGTTTTAATACTAATATTTAAGTTTTTTTTGGGACAAGATTATTCTGTCAAAGGAAGATCCTCGTTTACAAAATTCAAGCCATTTTACAGTTTTCTGGAGAAGTTTGAGAAGAGTTTTACATCTGGGATTCTAACGCCTTGTTCTCTGCTCATCAATACGACTATGAGAGCGTTTATTCTTTCCCTTTATCCTTAAAAAAAATATTTTGCTTAATACAAATGAAAGCATACATTGTTAGACTTTAATTCTCACATTATGGAGCTTTTTTTTATTTTATTAGTAATTTCATCAAAATGTAGTAAAATCCAAACACAATTTTAAATGGAGAATGCAACCTACACAAAAACAGACATATAATAATTAAAATGTTGTTTTTTTTACATCTAAAAATGACACATTTAGGCATCTATAAGATTCTTTTTTATGGGCCTCTTGTTTGTTTTAAAACTAAATTAATACTTTATGTCTGGATTTGTCTGAAAGGCCTGTTACTGCCGACCATGTGCTACAATTTTCCATTTTGATTTGAATATTTGGTATTTAAAGCTGCCCCGTGTCATCTATGTTTAGTTCTGAAATGCTTTGAATCGGTAAAGTCAACTGAACAACGACAATGTACTTAATTTTGCCAGTTTGTGTTACTTTTTGTTTGCGTTTTGTCTGCCCTCAGCGTCTGTGAAGTTGTGAATGAGTGGTTTTGTTGTGAATGAGTGAGTTTTTATGAAAATATTGTTGAATAAAATAAACAGTGCTTCAATAAATATGCAAAAACTGGATTCATTTCTTTGTTTTTATTCCAAACTCTATGATAGGTTTTTATGTATTTACAAATTGGATCATGCAGTGTCGTATTCTCACCACTAGAGGGCGTGACACAGCTTTGTGTACCAAACCAGCGCTCACGGATCAGAAACTTGAATGACTTTATCACAATAATGTAGCCATTTAAAATCATTATTGACTATTTTATAATTATAAAAGTCGAGATGAAGTCATGCATCTATTGACCTCTACTTATAAGTCTCAAAGAGGCTACAAAATACCTTTTTTAAAACCTTTTTATGTTTTACCTTGATGCACGTTTTAGAAATCCTGTTCAGATTGAAACGCACAGATTATTCCTGTTCCCACCTACCCCTTATCCCCGCCCACACCTCTGACATACTTTGCAGTTTTGGAGGAGAAAGAATTATGATCAGGGGAAAATCTGCCTATAGTGAAATAGTTTTTTATTTATTATCATTTCAAGTGTGCATCGATTACCAAGCCGTTTTGAAATAGTTGTAAGAATTATGACTAATAAATAACAAAATTATTGTTAGTGTAAGTAAAATAATAGATACACATGATTTTTCTATTTAGTTTGTATGATCCAAAAATGTGTATTGTTACGATTCCACATGTTTTGGAATTCTAATCTTGGAGTCTTAAAACCGAGTATGTTTTGTTTTTCTTTAAATAATCTAATCTGTATGTCCCACCAGACATAGTTTTGTTAACAAAAATAAAATAAAAAGTTTATCTAAAGATGTGACAGAGGCCAAAAATGCACACTGCAAAAAGTTGAAATTTGGCAGCATGTGTTTTAATTTGAGCACATTTCGACCGCTTTAAAACAACATTTGCAAATGGGACAAAGCAAACATGAAATTGTTTTTTTAAAAGATAATAAGTTAAATGTTTTTTTCCGTCGGCAATACTTGTCTTAAGGCAGTCCAAATGTTCTAAAATTGAGCTAAAAATCACTCAGTTCAAGCAATTCTAACCTCATATTTGATCTATTTTTGCAGTGCGTGTGAAAACAACAGCATTGATTGGAGCCAATTGTTTTGAGAGCGAGGAACGAGTTACAAGGATTTTATTACAAGGTTCCAGTTTTAGTTTTTCAGCTCAAAGTTATGAATCGTCTTCCTGATGTGTCACATTACGCACGGCTCTCACTCCAGACCCGGGTTGACTTTAAAATCCTTCTGTTTGTCTCTGAAGCCCTCCACAGTCGGCCATCTTCACATCTGCAACAGACCAGAGCTGTGTAGCTTTCTCTGAATATGCTCCTTGTAAATGGATTCCTCTCCCCGATAAGATCAGAGGTGCCCCAACTTTGGTGAGGCACAACATTTTTATAAAAGCCCCATTCATGCAGAAGCGACCCAGGGAGATGAACACACACAGAAAGAACGTAAAGAAACAAGAAAACAGAAAAATATGCCATGAACAAGAATAATCTAAAAACATGAATGTCTGTGAGGAAACTACAGATCTACAAACAATCTTTCTGATTTGATGCCAAGTCTCTCCTCTTAAAAAATGTTTTATTTACTATTGATATTATTATTATTGGCATTATTATTATTACAATTATCATTATCACAATTTGTATTATTATTATTATTATTATTATTATTATTATTATTGTCATTATTATTATCATTATCATTGTTAATGAGCCGCAGCCGCCCCACTAGCCTAGCCTAACTCGTAAAGTGCCAAATTGCCGTTGTGTCCTTAGGCAAGACACTTCACCAACATTGCCTATAATGAATCTGGTGTGTGTGATTGGTTGCCTCGCTTCTGTCAGTGTGCCCCAGGGCAGCTGTGGCTACAGTAGTAGTTTCGTATAGTGGTAATCTTGTTATTGCATTGTCATTTAACCAGGGAAAATCTCGGAGAGTCTTTGCCAAAAGTCATTCACACCCTTGTCGCCTTGTGCTGAAGTTGTTGCATGAAGTGTGCCATACAAAAACATGTCCTTCCTCCTCCTGCTGCAGAAGTCTGTTTTCCTTCACAAACATAAATCCACAGATCATAAAGTTGCGTTGGAACAATCCCTGCAGCTCTGAGTCGCTGTGAGCCCCATCGGAGCAGCAGCCGGGGCCTCTGTCCTCTGTCTCCAAATAAACGGATAAATTGCAGCATTTGGAAAATATTGACTCTGTGATATTGGACTCACACACAGCTGTGCGTCCACAACACACTGCACAAAGAATTTTAATTTCCATGTTTTCAGACTTGTTAGAGTGACAACCTTCAGGTCTAAATACTCGGCCTTTATCGCTTCAGGTGATATTATATTATTGTATTAAATTAGTATTAGTATTTTAGCCACATTTTGGATACTTTTCTTTTACTTATTGTTAAGTGTTTGTGTGCTCGGGAATAATGTCAAATGAACATGTTTTCTACTTTCAAAACATTTCAATTCTATTTCATTTCAATGCATCTGTGTCTAGCCCTAATTCACAACAGCACTTATCTCAGAGGACTTTAAAAAACGGACGAAAATGTGCCAAAACAGATCAGAGAATCAAACCGTTCAAACACAAGAATTGCAACAATAAAAAACACATAGAGCCATTGGTCCATAAGAGACATCAATCACCATCACATATGTTCAAATATACAGGATAAAAAACAAATGTATTCATAATTCATCCTTCATTCAAACGTTGCTTTATCATTCATGCTTTATAATTATTTTCAATCTTCCTGTGCGAACAAACCTTCAAACACGACTGTATTATTGGTTGGTTCTTTGCATCTTTGAAGCCGTCAGTGTCACGTGGGGAAGTGAAAAAAAAGGGGAACCCAGAATGCAGGACTGACAAAACAAATGTAGTTTAATAAGAATCAAAATCCAGACTGACATAAAAACATCAAATACTTGGCTTGCAGTCACGTGACGCATCAACATCTGTTTCATGAAGAGGTGTCAGGCCAAAACAAATGACTGCTGATATGCAAAGAAAATGCGACTCTTCTTCCGAGTATTTTTGTGATTTTTGGATATTTCCTGAAACTTTGAAGCTACTGTGGTTAAAGTTCTAACTCATCATTCTAACAATATGCAGTATTTTTCCACTGCATGTTTTGGTAATATCAAGGTTGAAGCTTTTGGCACCGCGGCGAATGCTGATTGGAGGACTCCATTCCTCCGCTGTATAATACCACTTACATTCGGTAACGTCTTTGTTGGTCCTGTCTCTACCATCGACAATAAAACATGTCTGAATTGAAGACACGATCCTAGACTGTCATTTTCTTCACTTTAGATTCTATTTCTCAAGATTGTTACATCAAAAAATTAAAATTGTGTTACAGTACAGATCCTAATGCGTTGTCCAAGAATGATTTGATTTGTGAGTTAGAAAACTATTTGCCAGTTCAGTTCTCAGATATCTCAAACTAGAGTTACAATCAAGCTTTTGCTAAACAAAGAAGGCTTGGAAAATCATGGATGCTACTACTGTCTGTGGGTTCAGGAACTCAGAGTTAAGGTGCAAATCCTGCATCGTAAAGAGTAAGTAACGATTGGTATGAACTTGTCATTCTCAACAAAACGATGAACATGTGGCTGTGTTCTTTTCAGGTCAAACATTCCCAGTGTTTATCTA